TACATGCTAGAGTTTCATTGATAAGAGATAAGAAATAACAGTCTTTCTTTATCAATCTGTTCAGATCTCAATAGTTTATACAGAATTAAAGTTCTTTATCTGATTTCTTTGTAAAGAGAATAGAAGCTGCAGTGAAATAGTTACTAATATATATAAATTTCTTATTCAACAGATCATTGAGTATCTTCTAAAGAAGAAGAAGTTCATCTTGAGATATATTATAAAGAAGACTCTATGATGATTCAGAATTCTTATTATTCTTCTTTTCTAACTTAATACTATAATTCACTTCTGAGTCTTGTAATAGAGGTAAGTTTGTAATATTATCTTATTGAAAGATATCTAGATATTTATGATATTATTGAGAGAGTTTTATATGAGAATCTATTATTATAGTATAAGATAACTTCTCTAGAGCTTTCTTGATATTGATCAGACTGATGAAGTAGATTGTCACATGATTCTGCTATAAGCAACTTCTTTTTTAAAGCATTTCATAAGTATTGATAGAGATCTGTGTTAAGTTCATAGTCTTGTGAACATTGTCTCTGTGAATTCTATTATTATTATAGAATATTAAACATCTGTTTCAAGCATTCAATAAGATGTCTTGATCAGATAGTCAGACAAGTTCTAACAGAAGATTATATTCAAGATTATCAACTTCATATGCATAGACATCTTTATATTAATTTTCTTCAATATCTATGTTTAGTTTTATCATGTAACAGATGCAAACATCTTTCAGATTATTAAATTCTGTAAGAAGTTGAGATTTTAATAAGAGAATACACTGAAGATTATGACATCTTACAACTAAAGATTTAATCATTGCATAGTAATATAGACTGCTATCTATCATAGCTTTCATATTATATATGTTATTCATCACAGTAGATACAAGAATTGCATTCATTACTATTTTCTCTTCAAATTATTGTCATTTGACCTCTTCAAGCTTCTGTTTACAAGTTTGAATAGAAGCTAGTCTTTTTTCTGTTTCACTGAGATATTCTTATAGTTATCTTCTGACTCATCTGAATCTTTTTTCAATATAATATGATTGACGTGAACTGTCAGTGTTGATCTTTCTATTGAATAAGAAGATACATAGACTGATTGACAGTTGAAAGTAATATATTCTGATCAGTTACAATTAATATATATGTCTTATTGACATCAATCAGCAACTTCTTCTGAAGCAATCTCAGAGACTTGAAAGTTTGTTCAGACGGTGAATGTAATGTGGCGGAACCGAAGCGGTGAATAGTTGACAGTGTCATGTAGAAGTAGTTGTTTTGAGAAGCTGTATAAGTGAGCTTGACTATCTTGCTTAAATAGTGAGCTTGTAGGCTACAGAGTTATTGCAAGAATATCACAGATATAATACTTAGTATACTAAGAAGATTGTATAAGACACACAGTAACTCTTGTGTATATTTCAGTCAGAGTAAAATGAATTACTGACTTCTTTGATAAGAAGCCAGCATCTAGCTATTCTATATAGATAATGAGTGAATACTCTTCTCTTATTTCATAAGTAAGAATAGCTGAAGCAATATCTCAGCAGTATCTCATTGTCAAGAAAGAGTAATCTGCTAATCTTATATAGAAATGAGGTTCTTATATCTATTAATCAGATCTTTCTATGATATATCTGAATAATATCATAGAGTGATTGAAAACTGATTCAGATAGTCTGTGAGATGAATGAAATCATTTATATGAAAGTAATAAGCTGTGTGAAACTGCAGCAGAGTCTTGATACAGTTAGAAGTATAATAATACTCTTCTCTTTAAGAGCATAGTTCTAATACTTTTAAGATTACTGAATTAGAAATTATCTTTGTTATATAGCAACAGTTATCAACTGATTGACAGTATATATGCTGTATATGATACAAAGAAATAGATGAGTTTTTCTGCTAACTGTATAGATCTTTCTTTTTCCATCTTTATTTAAATCAAATGCATGATAAGTAAGTTCCTTATATATTGATTTAAAATGTGAAAAACATAGTTAATAAGTGACTTGCAGATCTTTCAATATATTCTATTCTGTATATAAAATTCTCTGTAAAAGTGATGTATTTTAGAGACAAAGCTAACAGTAGTAATAGGATTTTTTTGAAAAGATTCTTCTTCTCTATAACATATTTTTCTCTTCTCTCTCTCATCTGTAATAGTGAGTGTATGAGAGTATCATTCTTGAAGAACAGTAGAGGACTTATTCTGACATTTTCTAGTGAGTAAATGTCTTTATGATGCGGCTGCAGTCTCTGTGACTGTAAAGAAGGCCAGGTTAGAGGCAGAGACAGTGTCAATGAGCTGCAGAAGCACTGCTCTCATTGTCACATCTTCTTCTTCTTCTGCATCTCTTATGGCTGCAGTGATAGTAGCCGCGCTGTGCAGTGAGATGTCATTCCTTCTGCCAGCCGGTGCGTCTGCATCCAGTCCATCCCCTGCCCCCCCCGCCGCCGTTGCGACGCTGCCCCCCCCCCCCCATCAATACAGTGGTGTATGACCCTGTGTGATCATTCAGAGAGGAATCTGAAGAGAGCTTGATTTCAGAGACAGTGACTCTGAGAAGCTCAATCTGTAGTTCCTCTTCTGCACACCTGAGCCCTGCTCAGAATGCTGCTGAGTTAGGTTCACAGAGTCTCATAATTTCTTCATCTTCTCTCTGTGAGAAGGCTCTGATGCAGTCTCTGACTGATATCATCATCTATCTGTGCTATGCTAAGCAGCTGAAGAAGAGGAGAATTTTATACATCTGCTTCTTCTCTCACTTCTGTTATTTCTATTATATCTGTAACAATGACTTCTGTCTTTCTATAAGTATTATCTCATAGAAAGACATCATATCAGCTCTGATAAGAAGTCTAAATACTCAAGCAGTACAGAGTGAGAGTCTCAGAGCTTCAAGTATTGACAGATTTTATCAAGACTGAGAAGATCTGTCTTACTTATCTGTAGAAGAAGATGAAAGCATAAGTCTCTGAGATGAAAAAACACCTCAGAATAACTGATCTTAAGAAGAAGTTAACTAGTATCACTGTTAAAAGTGCTACAGAGATCAATCACTGATTGAAGAGAATCTCACTTCAATTAAAGCAGATGACTGAGATGCTTTATAAGTTAATAAATTAATACTTTCAGTATCTCTTATACTCTTCTATAGCATGCTTCTCTGCAGCACTGCAGTACTAACTTCTCAGTAGATAAAGATATCAGTGCTGAAGACTTTAACAGTGAAGAATGAGTTTGATAAGAATATGATTATTAATAAGTAGACTCTGAGATTTCCTCTTTTTACTTTTTCAGTGAGCTGTGATCTCACTAGAATAGCAGCAGCTCATGAGTTAATTAATATTAATCTTTTTTATTAGTTTCAAATATTTCTTTTCTCTAACTGCTTCAGAAATTTTACACTTGTATAGTCTCATTAAACTTCTAAAAAACCCTTTGAGAGAAAATAGAAGAAGAGTGCTACAGAGTTTACAAGATACTGACTTATCACTGTGAGATCATCTCTAAAAAACTCTTTGAGAAAAATAAGAAGTTTTTAAGCAGTATTTCTTACTCAATGTCTCTGATGTGTAATAAGACAGTCTCTACTAGTTATCTCATAGCTTGCAATCTCTTTCTCAGTATTTTTCAAATATTTAAGCAGTTCTCATGAATTCTCTGACAATAAATAATCTTCTTATTTAACAAGATATTGAAGCTTACTATAATATATACTTATTCAATATTTTCTTCATAAGATATTCAGTATCACTCTTAATCTTAATATTATTCAGCTGAGACAGCTTCACTCTGAGATATTACTTATAGAGCTCTAAATAGAAAATGTGAAAAACAGAATAAATTGATTTTAATTCTGTGAGTAATTTCAACTCATATATCTGCTTACTCATCACTCTTATTACTGAGAAAGATTCTAGTTACTACTCACTGAGCTTCTTATATAATCTTATTATCTTGATATTCTTTGCTGAAAGTAGCACTTGATTCTCTATCAAGAACTTCATTGAAAGATGTTTTCAATTATAGTATTCTATCTATCACTTCTGAGTGTGATGAATACTTCTCACTATCTTCTTATGAATTTTATTCAAAAGTTTTAATCTCACTTTTACTTCTGATACTGAGAGATACTTCATTCTCTGTATCTGTCTGATATTCTGACTGTCTATTTCTCTCTTTAAAACATTATTCATGATGTCACTGAGTAATGAAGAATTATATTTATAATAAGTATAGAAAGAAGATATCTTTAAGATTGTATTCTTTACATTGTTATATACAAATTCAGTGATTAGAAGATGTTTGAGTTAATCATTCTAATAATATAAATAGAATGCTTGAAGATGCTGTTCTAGTATCTGATTCTGATATTCAGTCTGACCATTGATCTGTGAATGAAATACAGTACTGAGAAGACATCTTATTATAAGATAATAGTAAAAAGCTGATCAGTATTTGCTGATGAAGAGGGATTCTTGATCTGTTATCAATGATTTCAGAGCACTGTGATTATAAATAATGATATCTAAAAACAGATTAGTCAATTCAGAGGCTTTAATCTTTTTATAAGTAGAGATATATCTGATCATCTTTATAAAGCAGTCAATAATGATCAAAATTAAGTCATATTCTTTGACTCTTGTCAACTTCAGCAGATCAACTATGAAATTCATTGATAGGTTCTGTTATAAGCTCTTTGAAACAGGCAGTGATGCTAACTTGCTGTATTACTTATATCATGAGATCTTTATTCTTTAACAGATATCATAAGTCTCAACATACTCTTTGACATCTGTCTGAAGCTTGTCTCAAGTGTATTTATATTTTAGAAGCTTCTCAGTCTTCTCTAATCTGAAGTGCTCTGCATGAAGATTATTATGATGAATTCTCAATAACTTCTGATGCACTGTTCTGCTATGAGAAATGAAGACTGAATTATTCAGCAGTAGAAGTTCACATTCTCCTAGTTATCAGTGACTTGATTTCTTAGCAGCACTGCCCTGCTCAGGGCCTGTCTCTTTCAAGTTCAAACTGAACTCTTTCTTCTTCAACTTCTGAATTTGAGCTGCAGTAGAGGTGTTCCTCTTCTGTAACTCATCAATGAATTTCAAAAGTAGTTGAATTGAAAGGTTGTAGACTGTTTTGTCCTTTGCCAATTCAATGGTTGCAAGATGTGACATGAGAAGCTCATGATCTTCAGTGTCAGTCCAACGATTTGTACACCTCTGTATTTATTAATAACCTGAGGTCAGTCAACCAACCGCTCCACCACGAACTCGCTCGATTTTTCGAATAAGAACCCGCCGATAGATCCATCGAAAAGCCCTCGATCATACGAGCATTCTGACCCCATCGCCGACCGCATACCCTGTGTGGTGGTGGAGTTATCCAGCCAAACGTGAACCGGACGTTGTTCGAAGCTCCTGTGTGGGATTATCCCCCGTTCTCCCCTACCACACCACAACCCCGGGCCAGAGTGCCATACAAATTGTAAGGTGAAGTGACCTAGCCATATGCACCAATCTTCTCGATTTTGGAAGATCCCCGACCTGTAGTTGTGGAGATATCCGAGGAGCGACCTCCGCGAAAACCCTGTCCATCTTTGATGTTCCAAAACACCAACGCCAAGTCTCACCCTCGTACCGCCCTTCCCAATCTGGCCCATCCCCGGCAGAAAAATACAAAAAGATACCTCGGCGATAATATCAAGCACATAATCAACAGACTCTTCTGAAGTGCAATCTCCACGGTCCGTCGCCAGTGTATCTAGACTTCAACACCAAGTCTCACCCTTGTACTACCCCTCTCAATCTGGCCCATTCTCAGCAGAACAATACAAAAAGATACCTCAGCAACAGCATTCAATATATAATCAGTGAACAACAAGTCAACAGCACATCAATAACTATAAAATCAGTATATCTCAAGGTCTGACTGAGCCTTTAATCCCTGTACAGTGAGATATATTAAATCTAGTTTTAATACCTCAATATTCAATAGATTCTGCAAGGGATTGAGAACAGCAATACTAGATTTCTATTGAATTTGAGAATTAACTCTATATTGATATAATCATTGACAAAGTCTTCTATTTTAAGATATAAATAACCAGTTCCTCTACATCTCACTGATACTATTTACATTATTATATAGAAACAGACTTATATTCTCTATAATATCAAGACTAGACTGACTGTGTGACCGTGTCTGGGACCAGGACCAGATTTTTTGATAGTTTCATTACCAATTCGACTGATCCCATTACACGGTTTTAACATTAGATAGTAGTCCCATACTGTCCCAGTGGGACTTACTGTCTACTCTTGTCACATTTTCCAAATGGGACCATGATTTCCACTTCTCAATTTAAATTATTTTTATTGCTTTAAATGACTTTAAATCTCATTTGAGCATTACCAAAAAGCGTTACTTTTTAAAAAATTAAAAATAGTCTAAAAAAAACCTTAAAATGTCTAAAAATAGTAACTTTATGCCAAGAATGGGACTAAATGGGACCAAATGAGATCACTTTCTCATTTTTTTCAAGTCATGGTCCCATTTTAAAATCTGATATATAGTCACTTTGCATGTTTTTTTGATAGCCAGTCCCAGCGGGATTCACGCCAAGAAATGTATGAGACCAGACCAAATGGGATCAAACGTGAAATTCATGGTCCCGGCGGCCAGTCTAATCAAGACTCTGAAGAGGGAAAGTCTTGATAGAGAGTATATAGTAGTGCATATCTTAGTAGTTTCTATCTCATTCTTCTGCAGCAGTTAATGTAAAAAAAAAAAAAAGATCTTAGAAATAGTTTTTTACTTCTCTTGAAAAAGTAAGATGTTTTTCTCTGGGTTTTACACAATATTCTTACAAAGAATTAAAAACAGAGTTGTTTTCTGTCATAATTTCATATTCTTTTAAGTAAGAATTACTTTTTCAGTGGCTGAAGAGCTTTCATTAATACTTAATTCTCTTTTACACTCTTTATTGACTGATTTGAGTTGCACACTTGTTGTGTGAGAAGAATTGAATGATTTAGAATAAAATTGAATAGTTTTAATCAATTTTTCTGCAAAAAATTGACTTATTTTTTGTCAGTTTTTCTCTCAAAAACTGTCATATCATCTGATTTATTATCAATTGATATCATACTTTTCCTCACTGTATCTCAAGAAAGAGTTTGTAAAGATTTTATTGATTTATCTTAAAAATCACTTTTAGTTTATTAGATTCTCTTCAAAAATCTAACCTAGTTACTGAACTAGTGTGAAAAAAAATCAGGTGTTTTATACACAAAAGTCTTTCATTCTTCTTTTGAAACAGTCTGACCAACTTTTCAATTGAAAATAGACTAATAAATCTCTCAACTGAAACAGTCTGACCAACTTTTCATTTGAAAATAGATTAATAAACCTCTCAATTGAAACAGTCTGACCAACTTTTCATTTGAAAATATACTGATAAATCTCTCAATTGAAACAGTCTGACCAACTTTTCATTCAGTGAGTAAAATGAGTTCAAGAGTACACTCAGTTGATGTGGAAAAAGATGTTTTCTCAGATGCCATTCCTGAGATTGAAATTCTAAAGAGAAGAAAGAAGGAAGAAATAGAGAAACAACAAGTTCTCAAAATACAGAAACTGGAAAAAGTAAGCAAAATTCTTAGAAAACAGTGTCTGAGTGAGAAGAATGAAGAAGTTCTGTTAATTCTTCATGCTCAGACTAGACAACTACAAGAAGTGATCAAGTTCAAACTTGGAATTTCAAACACAATTCAAAAAACATTGAAATCTTTCAGTACAGTCACTGACTCTTTTTCATCTTCTACTTCTTCATCTTCTTCTTCAAATCAGAAGAAAACATATGCTCAAGTAGCAGAATCTGCTATCTTCAAACCTGCTAGTTCAAAATCTGCTCAAAATTCTGAGAAAACTGAGAAGAATATTTCTCAGACCTCTGTTCATAGAAAGGAAAAAAAAGAAATGTAAAAAGAGAAGAACTTTCAAATCTTCAGAAACAGAAGACTTATTCTCAAAGTCTCAAATCAGAAGAGCTTGCAAAAAAACAAGCTAAACTCAAATCTCATTTTCAGAATTAGAAATGAAATTAATCAGCAGTTCTTTTCTCAGTTAATAACTGATATTGAAGTTTAAAAACTAGTCATAGCTTCAATTGAGTCATCTTTCTTTGAAAACTCTATTATTTTGACTATAATGCCTGAATTCAGTGCAGAATTTCCCATTCAGAATGAGAATCTCTGGAAATCAGCAATAGAATCTCTACTGAATACAACAATTCTATCTGAAAGAGATGAAAAGTGGGACAAATTCATTCTTCATGATATTTCAGTTGAAATTTTTGACTGTGAGGAAGGAATGCTGCTTCTCAAAAATGAATTAGAAGAATACAATTCTATTCAACTGAGAAAAGAGCCTGTATGACTTAATTCAATTGAGTTCAGACAGAGCAGAAGAAATGCCTCTGTTCTAGTATATACAAAGACACTTGAACAATCAAGAATCTCTGAAGTAAGAGTAGCAGGTTTGAAAATGAGAGTTCATGAATACAAAGATTCAAGAATGAATCTCAAAGCTCAAACACAGTGTTCAAACTGTCAAAGATATGGACACTTTGCAATCTCTTGTTTCAGAGACTCAAAATGCGCATTCTGTACTAGAGATCACAAAACTAGTGAGCATAAATGTGAAACATGCTCAAAAAGAGATGAAATATGTCAACATACTCTGCTTAAGTGCTTCAATTGCAAAGAAAAACATGTATCTAGCTCAAAAGAATGTGTATTTGCTTCAAGAACTCAGAAGAACTGAAGAAAAGATGAAGCTCAAAGTGAATCTAAAACTGAAGAGAAAAGTCAAGCTAGTAAATTCACAACTGCAAGCTTAAAAAGAAGAAACTCTCAACTATCTAAATCTTCAAACTTCAATTCTCCAGCTAAATGTAAACAGAATTTGAATCCTTAAACACCTGTTAAGATTAGAGAATTGAGAAATGACTCTGATAATAAACTAGATAGAATGCAAGCAGTTGAGATTCCTGCTTTTCAAAATAGTTATAATCTACTATCTGGTGATAGTGATTAGATTCTACTATATCTTCACTCTCTTTTAGTATGAATGTATAACAAAAACAACAAAAAAAGTTTAAAAACTCTTCAAAAATCACATTTATTCAAAATAATGTGAATAGAAACTCAAATTATATTTATTCTTGTCTTCAGATTGCATTTGAATAAAAAGTTGACTTTGTACTTCTTCAAGAATCAAATTTTGATACTGAGTAAAAGTACATCATTTCTTATTCAAGCTATTACTGCTTTCTTCCTGAAAAATCTGAGATAAAATCAAGAGTAGCAATCTATGAGAGAAAAAGATCAAGATATCAATTTAATCTGAGATTTGATATCATATCTGACTCTGACATTCTAGTGAGTGACATTATAGATAAAGATAATGAGTTTGATACTATTCAACTTATAAATATCTATAATGAAAAATCATTGAAAGAAAACAATAATACCTGAACAATTAATAGAGAATTTTTGAATATAACTCTCTTAAAAAACTCTATAATTGCAGAAGACTTCAATACACATCATCTGTGATGAAACTCAGAGTGCACAAGAGCAGTAAGAGCAGATAAACTGGTTGAATGAACTTTTGAGCATTCAATAGATTTAGTTAACAAGTCTGATCAACAAACATTCTTTAGAAAAGGCATGAAACAGAAATCTATTATAGATCTAACTTTCATATCATAAAATCTAATTGAAAAAAGACTTATAAACTGATTTATTGATTCAAATGAAACCTCAGGATCAGGTCATGAGATCATTTAATTTCATATTGAACTGAGTGAAAAACAAAGAAGTGAAAATCCTCTTCTCTCTAATCAGTATAACTTTGAAAAAGCTGATTGAAAAGCAGTTGAAGAAAGAGTAAAACAGCTGAAATCTGAAAGACAGAGTGAGCTCTATTGAAATCAAAGTCAAGATATATCAAATGAAATGCTTGAGAATAGAGTAAAGCTGATTACATCTATTCTTCTAACAAGTATTAAAGAAAATATTCCAAAGAAAAAGTCTTCTGAGTATTCCAAACCTTGGTGGAATGAGAATATCACTTCTAAAAGAAAGCAATTAGCCACTGCTAAGAGAGATTGAAAGAATCACTTAATATCTGATGAAGAGTTCAAAGCTATTTGAAATGAATATTTTTCAGATATTAAAAAAGTCAAAACAGATTGCTAGAACAAATTTCTTGAAGAAGCACAAGAAAAAGAAGTTTTCAAAGCCTTCAACTATACTAAAACAAGAAGTGTAGCAAAGCTTCCAACCTTAGAATATGAATTTCAGAATGAATTATATACAGCAAATTCTTTTGAGGAAAAATGTCAAGCTTTTATGAGAATTCTCTTTCAAAACTCATCATCACATTTAGAAGAGGAGAATATGTCATTTCATGAATATATTGATAAAAATAACTGGGAATGGCCTGAGCTTACATATGATGAACTAGAGTCAGCAATATTCTCAAGTTCAATTAAAACTGCTGCAGGGCCTGATTCAATTAATCACTCAATTATTTAAAACACATATTCCTACTTGAAGAATGAATATTTTGAGCTCTTTTTCAATCTCTTAAAAAATGGTTATCATTCTGAATGCTGGAGAGAAGCTACTGAAGTAATCCTTGCAAAACCTAATAGAAAGGCTTTAATTTCTAAGTCATATAGAGTAATATCTCTGTTGAACTGTTTGAGAAAAATTCTAGAAAAGATAATAGCTACTAGATTATCTTTTATAAGCTCTATTAGTGATTCTCTTCTATTTAATGAATAAATGAGAGGTAGAAAACAATATTCTGCAATTGATACTGTTCTCTCAGTTATTCATGATATTCAAGTAGCAAAGCATGAAGACCTGGTCTCAACTGCAGTTTTTATTGATATAAAAGGTGCATTTGATCATGTGTCAAAGTCTAAGATGATTCAAACTTTGAAGATGTTAAAACTGTCACTTTCTCTAATAAAATGAGTCAATTGTTTCATGTTTAAAAGAATTATACAACTATTCTTTGATGGAAGAAAACAAGATAAAACTGAGATAAAAATAGAAGTATCACAAGAATCTTCAATCTCATCTGTTTTATTTGCAATATACACTGCATATCTATTCAAGAATAGAGAGATGAAAATAGTGAGATCTTCAAGTTATGTAGATGATATTGGTCTACTCTACAGTTCAAAGACAATCAAAGAGAACTTAGAAGTGATTGAGAAAGCAGCAAAGAAAATCTTTGTTAGAGCAGATATCAATCTAATTCAATTTGATATGAATAAAACTGAGTTAATTCACTTTTTTCCCAGGTTTAATGAGAAAGAACTAAGTCTAACTCTTTTGAATAAAGAGATTAAACCCAGTTTAAATGTCAAATGACTAGGAGTATGATTAAACTCCAAGCTGAATTTTAAATATCATATTCAACAAAGAATCATCAAGACAGAGAGACTACTGAATAGTATAATCAGACTATTAAATACTGAGAGAGGTCTATCCTTTCAGGCTATGAGACAGTTATACATAGCCTGTATTATCTCAGTAGCTGATTATGAAGTTCAAGTTTGATGAAACAATCAGAGAAACTTCACTGAACTCTTTCAAAGTCTATAAAACAGAGCTTTGAGAAGAATTCTGAGTGCATTCAAGTCATCTCCTATTAAAGCAATGGAAATTGAAGCTTCAATTTCACCTCCTGCTATTCAATTTGAAAAGGCCTTTATGAACTATGCTCTGAGAGTCATGAAGATGAGCTTAAATCATATAATCAGAGAAAGAGTCTCTTCTTCATTTTCATCAGTTGACTCAGGAAATGAACTGGATTGAAATAGATTTCTTGATTGAAATGAGAATAATACTTTAAAGAAAATGCCCTCTCAACTGTATAGACTATGTTCACTTATTAAGAATCAATTTTCTTCATTAAATGTTGAGAAAATTGATCATGAGAAGATATCTCTCTGAAGAGAAAAGCTGGAATCTCTCATAGACTTACAAATAAGTGAACTATCTAAAGAGAGAGAATATGAACAGCATTTGAAGAAGATCTCTACAATTAATATAAAAGACTCTATTCTGATCTACTCAGATGGCTCAAAAAATGAGAATTTGAATAGATTAAGCGCAGGCATTGCTTATACTGAAGATAATATTAATTTTATCTCAGATTTCTGAAATTTAGGCTGTGAATCTGAAGTCTTTGATGCTGAACTATTTGCAATAGTGAAAGCTTTCAAACTCATTAAAATAAAATCTTATAAAAGAGGAAATGATTTGAAAGAGGCATGGATATTCTCTGATAGTCAAGCTGCTTTAAAAAGACTTAGAAATAGTCAGATTCATAATGATCAAATGAATCTTGAACTGATTTTAAACTCTGTTTTGAAAATTCAAAAGAAAAGAATATCAAAACTGATAATTCATCTGCATTGAGTTCCTGCTCATATGAATATTCATGGCAATGAATTGACTGATTCAGCTGCAAAAAAGGGTTCAGAATTAAGCAGATCTATTCAAAAAACAGTGTCCTGGTCTTTCATAAAGAGAAAGATAAAAGAATCTTGTTTAAACAAGTGAAATGAAAGCTGACAGAAACAAAAGAAGAGTATACATTATTCAAGATTTGAGATAAAACCAAAGTGGAAATCTTGTTCAATTAAATGTAAAAAGAAAATATTCTCATCTATAATTCAGCTGAAACTAGGACATGGTTATTTCAAATCTTATATACAAAGATTTGATGATAGATTTGATTCATGTAAGAAATCCCGCTCCTCGCGGATCCTTTACCCCTATTCCTATCTCTCGCGTAACCAATAGGGCTAGCGGCCCTTGGCTACACACAACTATATAGACTGGAGTTCGCGAATACTATTCACAACTCAGCTTGAATGCTATTATACATTTGACCCCTACATTTATCTTTCTACTGTGAACACTTCTAGTAGTTAACAGTACATATCACATCAAGCTGCAAACACCCGAATAATCGCCTGCAAGCACTTATTCTTACATTTCAAGCTCAGTCAGTCAGCAACCGCCTGTTATGACTGAAAGAACTAGAAACTCATGTGCTTCAACCCCTGCAAACCCTACTGCAGGCACCCAGGAGCAGCCACCTGAACCATGGATAACCCCTGTGGAAGAAGTCCCAGAGGACTTACCAACCACTCGCGGGACACCATTCTCTGCATCTGTGACAGGGGAACCCTCCAAACCCACGAACAAACCAATCTCAGTGGAGAACATCCTTGAGCACCTCCCGCGGGATCAAGCTATTTTTCTACAAGGAATGCTTGCTGCCCGCAAACACCCTCGAACCGAGTCCCTAGACATGACCTCCAGGGACACCCGCGAGCCGGACAGAGAACACCTGGGCCGCGATCACCAACATTAGGAAAAGAGGCGAGGAATCTGATGAAGACTACTCGCGGCGCTTCATGGAATTGTGGCGCGAATTGGGGCCTGTGGAAACAGAGCCCTGGAACAAGACCTGGATGATGATGTTCGCGAAGAGGCTGGATAAAGGCATGCAGGACAAGCTCATTGAGCAAGGCTCTAAGCCCTTAGCCCTGAAGAAACTGATGACTCTCATTCATCACTTGCAGATCACTGTGAGAGCCACAGACCTGCAGAGAGCAGACCATTGACTGGCCCTGTGAGGGCCAGAACAACAGAGAACAGATTTGTCAGAAAAAGATGACAAGACACAGAGAGATTTATATCTGACTGCTGAGCAGAGAGAGAGAGCTTCACAAGCTTCTGCAAACAGAGTGTACAACAGAGAGATCAAGAAAAAGAAACTCTGCTTTATCTGTTCTAAATCAGAACATCTTCACACAAACTGTCTGAACAAATCAAAATAGGAATTTGAGAGATCACAGACAGAGTCAGCAACAGCCTTCTTAAGGGCCTTAAAGCTGACACCTGAATCTGTTGCTTTCTCAATGAAAATGCTTACTTGTGAGAAGAGACTGTGTCACAGTGCTGCTGCCTCACAAGCATGAGAAGCATTGATGAACTCAGGATCCCAGGTCACTATGATGTTCCTAAAGCTCATGAAATGAATGAGCTGAAAGATGAAGACTGAAAACCTGCTCTTATAACAAGCAGAGTGTGAGAACTCAGACCTGAGAACTGAGAGACTCATAAGAGTCATCTTTGAATTGCAAGATCTCTCTGAAATCTGAAGAAGATTTACAGAAACTGTGATTATTGCAGATATCACAGATGACATGTATTTGAGACTTGCATGACTTCAAAGACACAATTCATACATAGCTGTCTGTGAGTCAGGTTTATACTTCTGATCAGTGTTAACAGACTTACTTATGAAGATAGAAGCAGTTGATGCTGCAGAGTTGATTAGAGAAGACAAGCTCATCTATGTAATGACTTTGTAAGTGTCTGAGAATCTCACAGTCATGAAAACTGAGCTTCAGATATTAGAGAAATACTGAGATCTTACAGAGATGTTCAGCCCAGCTAAGACAGCTGAGCTTTCTTCTCACTGTGAGAAGAATCTGACAATAGATTTGATAGAAGAGTAGAAACTCTTCTGAGAATCAATCTATAAGCTCTTTCATCACAAGACAGAGGTCTTGCAGATCTATGTGAAGAAGAATCTGAAGAATGGCTTTATCTGATCTTCACAGGCCTCCGCGGGAGCCTCTGTGATGTTTGTGAAGAAGAAGAATGAAGATCTCAGATTATGTGTAGACTACTGTAACCTGAACTTCAAGATAACAAAGAGCTGCTACTTCCTGTCTCTGATTGAGAATGTGATCAACTGTCTCACAGAAGCTGTCATATTCACACAACTGAATGTGATCAATGTATATGCACAGCTGTGAATACAGTCTAAGAATGAATGAAAGACTGTCTTTAGAACTGCACTGAAATTGTTTGAATATCTAGTGATGTCTTTTGATCTGACTAATATTTCTACAGTATTCCAGTCTTTCATCAATAAAATACTTTGTGTATATCTGAATGTCTTTGTGATAATATATCTGAATGATGTGATGATGTACTTCATGAAGAAGGAAGAACACACTGAGCATGTGCAAAGTGTGTTGAAGATCTTAGATGAGACAGAACTGTATATTAAACTCACAAAGTGCAACTTCAGTGCTCACTGAATTAATTTCCTAGAATATGTAATCATCACAGATGATATTCAGATGAAATCTTTGCAGATTGAGACTATTCTATCATGATCAGAGTTAACTAGTATTCATGAGATTCAGATCTTTCTGAGCTTTGTGAATTTCTATAGACAGTTTATCTTTGTATTTGTGAGAATCTTCTTGGCTCTTACAGACATGCTGAAGAGTAGAAATAAGAAGAAGTTATCTCATGAATAGAGAATGAAAAGATTATTAAGAAGAAAGAACTGTGAGAACTTTCTTATCTCAGAAGCTTGCAGAGCCTTTGCAAGATTGAAACAGATATTTACAGATATAGTGATGCTGTTTCACTTTGATTTCTTGCTCTTAACTAGATTGAAGACAGATGTCTTCTTCTTTACAATTTCAGAAATAGTCTCACAACTACAGTTAAATGAGAACTGGGTTTCAGTGATCTTTTTCTCATGAAAGATACAACTCACAGAGATCAACTATGACATTCATAATCAGAAGCTTCTCATGATAGTGAAATTCTTTTATCACTGATATCACTACTTTGAGAGCCTCATGACAGTGATTACTATTAGAACTGATTATAACAGCTTATAACAGTTTACTTCAATCAAGGAACTCTCACAGCAGCAGGTTCACTGGGCTCAGAGACTGAGTGAGTTCTGGTTCAAGATAGAGCATATCAAGAGAACTAAGAACTCAGCAGACAGACTCTCTCACAGGCCAGACTATGTTAAGAAGGCCAGGGCAACAGACACAGAGGGGCTAGAGGAGGCAGAAAAGCTTCACAGAATGCTCAGACTGAGTGTTATAAAGAGATTAACTGAAGAGTCTCTTAATCTCTTATGAGAGAAGAGGAAAGAGAGAGAGAAGAAGCCTGCACAACTACTCTCTACAACACTGAGAGTCAACACTCTGAGAATCTTTGTGAGAATTCTTGAAGAGGGTATCTATAACCTGAAGAGTTTGCAGGCTTTGAGAAGTGCTGTGGAAGATCTGATGTAAGAAAAAACAGAGCATAAGTCTTCATAAGATCTTCTATTCAGATTGTCTGAACTGCAACTGAAGAATGAATATGCTCAGCATATTTAAAAACTGCTTATAACAGAGATCAACCCTGCAGAAATAAAGAATTGAAGAGACTTAAATAATCTCTTGTGAAGAGAGGGCTGAATTTATATGCCTGTGAATGAGTTTCTATACATAGAACTCATCAAAAGGTATCATGACTCTTCTCTAGTGAGTCATTTTACAGATACTAGAACTCATGAGTTACTTACAAGGAAATACTTCTGACTGAAGATGCAAGGACTTGTGAAGAAGATAGTGAATTCTTGTACTGTTTGTCAGGATTTGCAGATAGTGTGGTCCAGGCTATATGAAGAACTTACTCCTCTACTCATCCCGCGGAAACCTTGGGAACAGCTAGGAATGAATGCTCTTGTGAGCCTCTCTGAAAGCAAGAACATATATGATGCCTGTTTTGACAGTGTGCTGGTGATAGTGAATTACTTCATCAAGATGACACACTTTATACTCATCTGTAAGAACTTGAAGTCAAAGAATTTAACTCACATCTTTATCTGTGATATGATCTGATTGCATGAGTTATCTATGAACATTATCTCAGACAGAGAATCAATCTTCACAGAAGAGTTCTGATCTGATCTGATAACTATACTGAAGATCTCACAAGATCTAAGTATGACTTTTCATCAACAGACAGATGATCAGACAGAACACCTGATGAGTATATTAAAACAGTATCTGTGATACTTTGTCAATTACAATCAGAATGACTGGATGTATTGATTATCACTCACAGAGTTCATGTATAACAACTCAAAGCATATCAGCACAGACAAAACTCTCTTTGAGATGCTCACTGAGACTCATCCGCGGATGACCTTGATGGACCCGCGAGAGTACACTATAGAGTGTGATGATGCCTGTGAACAAGCTGAGAGAATTCAGAAGATTTGAAAGAAAGTCTGTAAATTCTTGAGAAAGACTCAAGAGTATCAGAAGAGATACTATGACTTCAAGCACATTGCAAAGAGTTTCAAGAAAGATGATAGAATCTGACTGAGTCTAGAAAACATCATCATGCAGAGATCTAGTAAGAAGCTGAATCTCTTACAGACAGAGTCTTATAAGATTATGAAGAAAGTTAGCTTACAGTTCTACAGATTGAAACTATCATCTGAGTTGCAGATGTACAATATTTTTCATGTCTCTTTACTCTGTGAATATAAGAAATTCTCAGAAGAGAACTCTGTGACTCATCACTCTGTTCATAAAGCACTAGAGAGTGAAAGAGAATATCAGATCAAAGAGATTATTGACTCAGAGAAGTGAGATCACAAGCTCTGATTCAAGGTTCAGTGATAAGAGTATTCTGATAAGATGAATAAGTTCACTTAAGAATCATCTGAGCAGATAAGACATCTGCAGAAGCTGAGACATGACTTTCATACTGTGAATTCTGATAAGTCAGAATAATGTGATCTTTACTAAGAACCTGATTGTGATAAAGATATTAACACTGTCATTTGTGAATTCTAGTCTACAAGATAATGAGTTTCTACTGAGATGAACAGTCTGCAGTGTACACAAGAGAAGAAGAAAACATGTTCTCATTAAAGCTAAAAAACAAGAAAACAAACAGGGTCATGAATGCAATTTAGAGACTAATAAAGAAAAAACAAAGAAAACTCACACTCACATTATTAATATCTGCAACACTCAACTCTCTCACAACTATCAATTTTCTTCTTCAAAGAAGCAGAGAGTATCATATCTGTGATACAGATAATTGTTACACTTGATATGAAGGCTGTTAGAAATGCACAGACTTCAGAGAAGTCAGACATCAGAATGTGTGCAGTTATAGCAGAACCTTGAAGACTAATCATCTGCATGTGTGATCAGATATCTCTTACAAAGCTGTGTTCACTCTCTCAGTTGTGCTGGAGTATCCAGCCTGAAAATAATGAGAATGTAGAGAGAGAGCTCATCTGCTCAGACTAACTTCTGTTGTGAATTCATGATATTCACATTGCCTTGATTACCTGGATTTTACAGGTACTCAGAGACTCATCTCTCATTGACAATGAGATTGCAGAAATGCGCCGCGGTGTGAGAACCATTGACAGGAAACCTAGGCATATTCATATATGCCTGGTCAGAGATTGTGCAGGCAGAGAGAGGATGATCATAGGCCCGCAGGGCTGCAGGAGACACTGGCAACACTGAGAGCTTTGCAAGAACTGTCAGCTAGAGTCTGCAAGGAATTACTTATAAGAAGACTTACAGCAAAGAGAGAGACTGCACTGCTTAGAGCCAGGGGCTGGCCTGGGGGAGGGATGAGATGAGCCGCTGGCCTGAAGATCGGGTGCAGTGGTGGGGCTGGGAAGGATGGAGGCATGGTCATGAGTGGCGGTGCCCCTGCTCCACCAGCCAGTAAAAAGTGATCAGAGGAGTTGCAGGGATGTCTACAAGAAGCTCAGTGATAACCAGACATTGTTTGCAAAGATATTGAAATTGAAAAAATTTTTATTCTTGAAAAGTTCTTGAATTAATATATAGACATTGTCAGAAACACTCTCTCTCTATCATCTGAGTAGAAACACTTCACAGATGAATGAGAATACTCACAGTTTATAGAAATGAAAGCTGTTACAGAAAAAGAGAAAAGAAGATAAGATTTTATGAACAGATCTGAAATATTTATACTACTCTAGAGAGGTTTGCTTACACTGTGAGTGATTTCACAGAACAGTCAGATCACTCTAGTAAACAAGAGTGATTGTGAATCACAGGCCTGAATCTTTCTATATGACTACAAAGAGTGATTGCAGACTGTGAACATCTTGATTCTACAATTCTACAGAGTTAATGAAAGAATGAAAAATTCCTCACAATTCTACAGTGTCAAAGAGCAATGATTTATAAGAATGAATGAAAGATCAACTCATGAATGTTTCTCTTTGATGAGAGTGATCTCACAGAGAGTGATTCATCTGTGAGATGAATCTGTATAATGATCACACAAGAATCTTGTGAAAATGATTGAGAGTCAACCAGAACCCTTCTGTATGAAAGATATGAGATGAATCTGTATGATAGTCAGAGAAGAATCTGTAGATCATAAAGAATCTCATAGAATAAAGAACTGAGTGACAGACTCTTTTCTCTTCATGATAACAAGGGATTTTTCCTCACTGAGGTTTTTTATAGATGCAAAGAGTTTTTAGTGAGTATCACTGCAGTGCTGAGCTGACTATGAAGTCACTCAGTGAAAGGCTTCACAGATGAAGTCTTAGAGAGGGGAGAGTATGTAAGAAATCCTGCTTCTCATGAATTCTTTACCTCTATTCCTATCTCTCATGTAATCAATAGGGCTAGCAGCCCTTGGCTACACACAACTATATAGACTGGAGTTTGTGAATACTATTCACAACTCAGCTTGAATGCTATTATACATTTAACCTCTATATTTATCTTCCTACCGCAAACACTTCTAGTAGTTAACAGTACATATCACGCCAAGCTGCAAACACCCGAATAATCGCCTGCGAGCACTTATTCTTACAATTCAACAGAGTGCTCATTCTGCAATGTGAATGAAAATCCTGAGCATATTGTAATACATTGTGCATTATACAATAGTCTCAGAGTCAGATTAAAGAAGAAGTATGATTTAAATTAATTAAATATGAGGTTCTTATTCTCAACTGAGACAGGAACTAAATACTTAATAGACTTTCTATCAGAAACTAGAGCAGCTATAAGAAAATGGCTGAATTCAGAAGTATCTGAATATGAAGAGGTGCAAATTGACTAGATATAGTCTGTTAAAACAGCTATATATTATCTTTTAATAATTTTGTTTTGTTATAGTCTCTCTTTACTGTACTTGTTTCCTTCTGTTCTTTTCTCTATCTATTTAATATGTCTATCTTTAAGACTATGTTCTCTTTTCTTTTGTCATAATATTTTCAAATAATTTCAAACTATCAGAAGGTGTTGAAATACTGCAATTTGTAAACAGTTTTTGTATTCTGAGCTGGAATTTTCTGATTTTGCATATTTGAGATTGATAAATGTATAATAGTTAACTCTATAGATATAGGAAAAACCCTGAGAACTAAAGATTCTCAGGTAGATGTCATAGTCTCTGACTGTATACATCTATAATTGAAGAATAATAATAATAATAATAATAATTCAGTGTCAGTTCCCCGCGGGGACCCGGGTTCTCTTTCACCTTCTATACTGAGTCGTGCAGCTGCCTCTTCAGCACTGTTTCTGAGCTTTGGAGAATCTCAACCCTCTGCAGCCAGCTTCTTCTGCAGTGATGACAGAGATTCTTTTGTAGAATTCTTCTTCATATCAATGATATTATAATCAGACTGTTTAGATAATGTGTTGGCGGGATTAAGCCGACCTGGACAGTATTGAATATAGAAATCATACTTCAAAAGCAGCTCTGCTCACCTGGCTTGATATTCTGTCAAGCTCTTTGTTGTCAAGAAGTAATGCAGATTTGTATGATCAGTGAGAACTTACACTGAGTACTTACTATTCTGAAGATAATGTCACTAGATCTTAAAGAATTTGATAATTGCTAACATCTTCTGATTATAAGTATCATATCTTCTCTGTATGAGTGATAACTTCTTGAAGAAGAAGATCACTGATCTTCATTCACAGTGTCTTATAAACTCTGTGAAAAAGCCTTCTCTCACAGATAATTCATTGTCTGTTTTCTCAGAGATGATTATTCTCTGATTCTTTCAACATTGAAAGGCCTTCAGTGTCAACTGTGAAAAGATTTCATAGATCTCATTCTCAGATGCATCAGTCTCACACTGACTGAGTAAGTTGAGGTTAAAATGATTCAGCATTGTGACATCTGCAAAAGCTTGTTTCAATTTCACAAATATCTGCACAGTATCTTGAGTGAGGATAAACAGTTCTGTTTTTCTATCTTTCACACTTTCCTTTAACAGATCTGTAAGAGAGGCAGTAATCTGTGAATATGCATAGATGAATTATCTGTAGAAATTCACAAATTCTAGAAATATCTGCATCTCGCAGTACATCTGCAGTGCTGGTCAGTTCTCAATGGCAGAGACTCAGCTTCTGTTCATTGAAATGCTATTCATCTCAACAATATAATCTAAGAAATCAATCTTCTGCATGTAGAATGAGTATTTTTCAATGTTTGCATAGAGTTGATACTGTCTCAAGTGACTTAACACTTCTCAAACATGAGTATCATGTTCTTCCTCTGATTTTGAGAAGATTAAAATGTCATTCAGATATACTATGCAGGAGATGTCAACAAGGCTCTGCAGTGCCTCATTTATATAGATCTGAAAGATGACTGAAGTATTACAAAGATTAAAAGATAAAACAAGATATTCAAAATTGCTGTACTTAGTATAAAAAGCTGTTTTTCAAATATTGTCTTTGTTAACTCTGATTCTATAATAGACATTCTGTATATCAATCTTTGAGAACACTCTTGCTTCAGATAATCAATCAATCATCTCATTAATTAACAGTAGTAAATAATAATTCTTAACTATCATCTTATTAAGGCCTCTGTAGTCTACACATAGATATAGTCTATCATTCTTTTTAAGCACAAAGAGTATAGATGTCTCTGCTGAACTCTTTGATGAATGTATTCAGTTCTTTAATTATGCTTCTTCAAGATATTTGTACAGAACATTCAATTTCTTTATAGACAAGTTATAAAGAGATCTGTACAGTACTGTTGCATCATCTTTAAGACAAATCTTATGTTGTATCTTGATATCAGGAAACTTCACTGCTTTTCTTTCTAAAAAGACATTCTTAAAATCTGTAAAGAGATGTTGTGTATATTCATCTTTAATGACAGATACTGCTGCTAATCTTGCAGTGAGAGTGATAGCTTCTTCATCTGTTTCCAAGTCTCAATCACCTGCTATGCAGTATATTAACTCAATCTTTTTCTCAAGATTCTTCTGATGAAACTCTTCAGATTTCTCTATTACTGCCTCTTTATCAGTGAGGTGATATTATCACATCTGAATGACTCAGTCAATAAGAGAATTGTTTTCTCTCAATTATGAGAGATCTAGAATGACATTCTCATCTATAATGTTGACTGTGTAAAGAAGCAGACTGCTTTTCTTAAAGATTTCTTCTGAGTCTGTGATCACATATTTTACTTGAATTATGCTAAAACAGTGATATTTTATTTCATCTGTAAATTTTGCATAATCTGATGAATCTATCTTCTTTCAACTCTTTATCAAAGAAAAGAAATAGAATATGAAGTTAGTATCTACTCTGAAGTCAAGTAGACATCTCACTGATATCTCCTTATTCAGAGTATACATTGTGATTATAATATGAACTTGAAGATGTGAGAATTATCAATTCTTCATTTCTTTCTCTTCTTTATCTTTCACAGATACATTTGTCAGAAGAGAAGTTAACTTTGAGAAGATATCTTCTTAATTTCTTTCCTTCTTCAGCTTCTTGCAATTACTAATATAGTAATCATCAGCTCTGCAGTTGAAATAGAGATCTTTATCAAATCTTTTTTAATATTTCTTCACAGTGAGTGAAGAATCAGAATACTTGAAATTCTTCTTTACTTTCTCTGCACTGAAGCTGTCACAGCACTGTTTAGATTCTGTTATTAATTACTTAGAAGAGATCTTATTAATCTTTTTCTCAGAGAATTGATTATTCAAATAGATCTGAGAAGTCAGATTAACAAGCTCAGTGCAATTAATTAATGAATTCTGATATTATAATATTATTATTCACATCTTATGAGTCAGCTTTGTAAGATAAAGCTGTATTTTTAATTGATTTAAATCATTAGTCAATTTCTCTCAATATTCTTCAAATCTTGTATTGAAATTGAAAGGATTCTCATTATCTTATTAATATAATGAGTTGAATCACTGTATGCAGAAGTCTTTATAAGTTGAGTCTTTATCTACACTTATAAGAGCTTATAGAAGTTCAAAAGTCAATGTCTTCTTAAGCATACTAATCTTCATTTAATTCTCTCAAGATTGATCATCTACTTCTAAGATCTTGATATTGAAATTGAGAATGAATGTTGTAAGAGAAGTATTTCTCTGTTAAGTACTCTGTAATCAATCTAATATCTTCTGTTACATAGCAGTGTCTTGAAACAGAACATTGAGATGTTTAATAATATTATCATATGTATGTAATACTGATTCACATATCTTCATTCATGAATGAAACTTCTGTCTTATGCAATTCTTCAATTGTTCATTGATATATCAATCTTAATTAGTTAATGAACTGATGATATCTTTATCTACACTTAGTTTCATGAGTATTTTCAATCTTTATAATGAGTAGAGAGTGAAATCAGAAGTATTAAAATAT